AACGCCACAGTTCAGTCCCGCTCTGAAGACATAGGAAGGATCAGGGCTTTTCCTCCCCCTCTTAGGGAATGTGTTCCAAAGACTAATCAGTTCCACACTTAGAAATGTGTTTTCAGTTTGAATTTCTCTGGCTTCAGCTTCTAGACCTTGTTTGCTTTTTGTTTTTTCATTTGCCTTTGCTAGTCTCAAAGCTACATATTTGTTTTGTCTGAGGGACTCTTGGGATAACTTGAGAGCAATTAGCATTATAGAACAGGGAGATGCTCACCAGAAGCTAGGACTGACCCTCGTCATGTAGCATCACAGCAGCTCCTGGGTAACATCCTCAGTGGTTAACTTCCTCAGCAGTAACATCCCCAGCTGGTCCCAAGAAGCAGGGGCATTTCCCATGGTGTCTTCTGACCTGTACCATACCAGGCCATGAATGCAGCTGATGTCCTTCAGCTTGCTAATATTGGAAAGCTGCCTATGAAGAGAGCCAGATGTGCTAATAAGGTGGGTTCACCACTAATTCCAAGGCAGGTTGCAGATACATTGCCATGAGCCTTTGCTGAGGAAGTAAGAACCGAAACTTTCACAATCAAGAGAAAAAGAATTGGTGAAAGGCACAGCAAAGTGCTGCATAGAACATGGGGCCTTTCCTTACTATTAATGTGTAATGTTGTAGCTAATTACTCCCAGTGCATTTCCTAGCGGCCTGGGAATCTCTCACTGACCGTCTGCACTCACAACTACCTGCCCAGATTTTCATAATCTCTTACTAAATCATCGCTGGATTTGCAAAGGCGTCACCAGTCATCTGAATTGCCTTTTTCCATTTTTTATATGTCTTTTGCCTTGCATCAATTTGGCCAAGAAATATTTATTGAATAAGAAGCTCAGTAAGGCTTAAGCACTGTTTCACTGTTATGAGATATTAAATTATCCGTAACCTTTGCTCCGGCCAGAGCTGTACATGGGGCTGGGATTCACCTGTGTTGCTGCAGCGGACGAACGGAGGGCTGGCATGTTGGAGCAGGGCAGCTGCGGAGGGAGCAGGGTGATCTGAGGAAACAGTTTCCTCTGCCATGGGAACCTGGAGATGGGGGAAGGCACTGACAAAAGGCAGTTTTCAACTCATGCTTTTGAAATTCACAGTAAATTCCCTACGGCATCATCCACATTAGGATTATACCTCCAGGATCTCAGACCAGTCCTGCAAGACTCTAAAGCCATTCCCCACCTCCAAGCTGAAGGTTGACCCTGCTGTGTCCTGGGAAAACCAGCCCCAAGGAGAGTGTTGTTCACAACATCTGCTCTTTTGGCAAACGCATCTCCTGACACCCCTCAGGCTCTTCAGAGAAACCCTCATCCCTTCCCCAGTACAGACAACGATGGCATCCCTGTTGCTGGAGCAAAATTGGCTCACCCTGGACACTTAAACTACATCCAAATGTTTTTCCTGATGGGAAGCTGCTAACTGTTTGTATGTGAGGAAGAAGAAATTAGAAGCAAGTAATCATTTAATTTAGATAGACATTTTTATTAAGAAAATTTTAAGTGCATACACATTAATGGGAGAAATTACAACGGTATAAAAGTGTTTATTTTCAAAGTATTCTATGAAAGGAGTAATTTCAAAAGCATAATATAACTCCTCCATAAAAGCTGCCTTACAGGAGCACAGATACAAAACCCTTTTCACATTATTTGGGAACATATTTCTTTAGACTTTACTTAACAAAAATATAAAGTACAGTATTTACCACATTCTGACAACACTGAGTTCTTAAGGAGTGGAAGATGGGAGGTTCATGCAGCCCTTTCATGATGATAAATGTTTTCTTCTCTGTGGCCACCGGAGCTTCATATTTGAAGACAAGGCTTGTCTTGGTGGGAATTTGGTAAAGAAAAAAATTCAGATTTTAGGTGGTGATTTCTCAGAAACCCCATGTTACTACAAATCACATCACTCAAAACAAGTTGTCAGAGAAAAGAAGGACCCTCTAGATGCTAACAAAGGGAAAACAGCAACAAAAACTTCTATAGGAACTGCATTTTCAACAAAATGTGTATATTTAACTTGGAATACAGCCTTCATTGCAAAATGAACAATCACCTTTGCTCAAACACCTTAGTTAAAAACACATCAAAAAGTCACCCTTCATCCTTCCTCAGGCAGAATTCAGGTAAGATATTTATACATACAAATGTAAAGCTAGTATAAATAAAAAATTGGCACAGCAATAAATACCATCTATTCTTCTTTAAAAAAAATAATCCAATCTCAGGATTCGACAGCTGCACTTTGAAAATACCACACGTGACGATTTCACATTTATGGAAGCTGCTTTTTCAGCACCAGTTCAGTGTCCTCTCTTTTCCCTCCTTCCTTTCACGTGTAGTCCCTACATCACGCCCATCTCCCCACGCTTCCTTTCCCTGATTCCGTCTTTAGTCAACAGTTAAAGGCAGAAAGGAAAACCTAGCGTCCTCCCCAAGCGGGTTTCTGCTAGCGCGGCTTCTCAGCCTGCCAAGAGCGTGGTGTGCACAGGAGGAAGAGCACGCGATGCACAGGGTAGTGCAGCGACTGGTTTCTGTAGTGTGAAGGGCAGGCTGCTCCTCCCAATGCATCATGCAAATAATGTCAGGCAAAAAGCAAAGCTTCCTGCTCAAGGTTGAATTTTGGTCTGAAGCAAGAGAAAGCTTTTATCAGGTTCTCACTTAGGTCTTCAGTTACTCCTGGCCGAGTCTGGGCCAACCTTGCATTCACTCTGGGCTCAACCTTGCCCCAGGCAAGGGAGGAACATGGTGCTGACTCCTGAGAGCTGCCCCATGCCGTGAGTGGTCTTAGTGACATGAGTAGTGAATCGTCACCAGTGCAGCCGTGTCAGGGCCCAAGTCACAGTGTCTCAAGAAATGCCAGAGACAGGCAGCCCCCAAAGGCACCCAGACACCCACCACCTGGCTGTGAGTGTTCCCTATGCAGGGAGTCCCCTTCCTTCCTGCTGCTCAGGAGCAAATCCCCTTCCTTTAGCACAGTCTACCCCTGCAACGCCCACTAGTTTGCCCCAGAAGAGAAGGCTGACAGGTGACCCCATTTCCTGCAGCATCTCCACTACCTGGCTGTACTGCCCGGAGCTGGGATCCCAGGGTTTGGCCGGGGTGCTCCAGCACTGCCCATCTCAATGTTTCTGTCAAAGGAGTCTGTTTGCCCAGGCTGGCATGTGCCCAGAGACCTTTCCCTGCTGCTGTTGACCCCACATGCAGTCCCTGTTAATGAGGACTGCAGCAGAGTGGTGGCAAGGCTGTATAGTCACTTCTACCCACCCCATCTGTTCACTGGAAAGCCAATGTTTCCCCTAGAAACAAAATCTTCATGGCCTCTGTCGTCGTTAGGAAGGTATGCTGCTGAATCAAAAAAAGAGGATTATTTAATTCTTCATTTACTCCAATGGGAATTGATCAGACCTCAAGCTGTCCTTGGATGGGAAGCATGTGTGAAGAATGCACCTTCCTGGGTAAGTAGGACAAGCTCCATGTCTGTGTCAGAACCAAGATCCTTCCACACTTTCCCCAAAGTCATTCTCGGCTTTGACACTCACTATGTTTGTCTCTGGCAAACCACTAGCAATTGCAGGTGCATGTGTGGGGACAGGAGATGGACCCTAGGATAGAAAGTACAGCCCAAGGAAGAGACAAGAAACTCTCGTTTTCTCATAAAAGTTCGTTCTGTCTTTAGCCTTGCAACATGTTCTGATCCTACTCACATTAAATTAACACTCCAATTCTCATCAAGTGCAGTGGTACCAGACCTTTCAACACAGAGACACAATATACTTAAAGCACCAGGTTGGTAATGATAACAACAGAAGGAATGTCAAAAGCACACACATACATTTTAGGCACAGCAGTTGGTTTCTGCTTTAAAGTAAATGAGGTGATGTGGTCCCAGCTGAACACTCTCTGTAATACCACTGTTTTGCAGAGAGGAAAATACTTACAAGATTTTAACCTGAATCCACAAGGAAATAAGGTAGTCCCTGGCTAGCCAAAGTGCCTTTTTGGCAATAAAGGTGCCTGCCATGAAAAGGAGTACTTAGCGAAACATCCCTCTCAGCTTTCCCAATACAGGCTGCAGGGAATAGGGAAGATTCCTTTTGAAGCAATGCATTCAAAAAAACCCCAGTCTTAAAACTTTTTTTGTTTACAATACACAGATACATACAAACACAAGCACTGTGCTGCACAAACGTGCTTCCCCCGGATCCTAGTGCGCAGCGTAACATGGTTGTCGCAGGACTGCAGGTGTCCTTCCACACACTATATAGCAAAGATATTGCGCATACAGGTAGGAATCGGGAGAAAGAAATCTCTGGCTGAGAGAGGGGATTGCTGCAGGAGGCGGAACCTGTCCCCGGTGTACTTGGCAAAGGAAACTGCAGAGGCTATCCTGTTCACCAGCAAGCAGGGCCATGACCACTAGGGAACGGTGAGTGCTGGCCTTCATTTCCACACCCAAGAAACACCACACCTTCCACAAACTGGGCAGACCCTCTCTTGCGCCAGGCATCTCTTTTCTCCAAAGATATGGGCAGACATCCTCTTTTAGGTATCTCTGGAGCAATCAAAGATGTTACTGCCCTCAGATACGTGTGACTGTTCAGTAGCCAAGGCTTACAGCATGATTGGTGAAGGGTCACGTGAATGCATCTCCACCTACTTCAGTGCAAAGCCAACCAGGCAACGTGAAGCCACCTCCTGTGGATGGGTGGGAAGAGACACCTGGTGTGTGGCAGCGTATCTGACTCCTCCAGCAACTTGCAACATGATCGTGTGGTTATACCTTTAACAATCCATTCCTTTTTATACTAAAATCTGTCATCAGAAACACAGGAACATAGGAAATGCCAGGTAACATCAGAGCAGTGTTGTGGCTCCTAACACACACAACTACTACAAACCAAGTACTAGCACCTTGCAATACCAGATGTGCATTGACCCAGCTGCTCATAGCTGTGACCAAGGTCTCTGATCTTCAGAGGAGGGCTTTAGCCCTGTAGTCCTGAGTTTAATACCTATAAATGCCACCCATGATAATACTGTCCACTTTCATCAACGTCTGATGCTTTTTAGCCTTCCTATGTTCTTGGCCTCAGTGACTTCTGGAGGCAAGGAATTCCTCCACTACTTACACAACATCATTGCACGGTACAGTTCATGTCCTTCTAGGTTTAAAACTCCAGGAGACTTGCATGAACCAGAAGAAAGTTAAATAAAGCAGGACCTCTACATAGCAAAGGAAATAAAATATTATATAATAACACAGGGTTAGTTTAAATTCATATCTGCCCTCAGTGCTAGGTAATAAACCAACCTGTATAAAAACGTATTTTTCTCAAATAGTTACATCTTACTATATAAAAATAGCACTGTGAAAGCAAGCCATTTGTGAAAAAAGAAACAAAACAAACAAACAAACCAAAAAACCTCCAAACAAAAAAAAAACACCTTTGGAAATGCATGAAGCGTTGCTTTTGTGCTGCATGATAACAGTGAAATGTATTCATTCCCTAATACTGGTTATCTGCTCTCTGGGTCCTACAGTAAGAAATCCTGTAGACGGCTTACAATGCTTGCCTCTTACATCTTGAACCTCCTGTTGATGAAGAAGAGAGTGAAACACTATTAAGGTTTATTTCAGTTGCAAAAGCTTTGATATCAGGCCTAGTCAAACAGCAAATCTGTGTCTGGACTAACGCAAAGGCATTTCTTTTGCAGCCCCTCCAACCAGTATTTGCCAAACATTTTAGGGGAAGTTCTCCACAAGGAGCTACTGGGACCCAGCAGGGCAAACCCAGCAATGGGAGTTATTTTGGGCAGGTTGTGCTCATCGCAGTTAGTAGGGTGTTCAGAGCTACCATAGGAGGAAGGCTGGCTAGGAAGCTTATTCTGGACTTGAAAGCCAGAGCAGAGAATTATCGGTGGGCAAAGAGACTCGGCAAAAAAAAAAAAACAGCAGGGAAAGGAGGGATTAATCATTTGGAAGGAGCTCCAGTGGAACAAGTGGCACTGGGAATGCCTCCTTTACCTGCCCCTACCCCCTGTCCCTGCTGTTGATCATGGACTGCAGCTCCACAGAGTGCCAGGTCTCTGCATGGATGGAAGAACACAGAGGACAGCCCATGCTCTGCTCTTGTTGGTGTTCAGCTCCCACCATGGGGTGGCTGGAGAGCAGAGGCTCCCAGGTGTGCTACCCAGCCATGAACCATCCTGCTCTGGGACCTCACCTGCTGTGAGCAGCTGGGCAGCACATCACAGCCTGTGGTGACCAGGTGCCCAGTGAAGGTGGGGTGACAGGCTGCTGCACGGTGAATGTGTGAGGCGTTAAGTGCAGAGGTAAGGAGCTCAGGGTGGGAGGCAGACAAATCGAGTCTCCCAGGCTCAGTGTGAGCACGGTACCCAGAAGGAATGGTGGGTTAGGCATCACAGCAAAGTGCAAGGGTATTGTGTGCAGGGTTCACTCAGAACAAGGAGCCAGTCTGTGCTGGTGGCCTCCGGGTTTTGTCCGAAGTGATCCCTACTCCTGCTCCAGGCTGATCAGCCTTTTGCAATCTAGAAGAGGTCACTAAGGCTGAGTTACAAGTGTCAGAGGGTAAACACCAGGTATTCAAAAACCCTGATGGCCCAGAATGTCTTGTCTAGCCTACAGGATTAGAACAAACATCCTTTTCAATGCCTGCTGGACAACTAAGACTGCGTGACCATAGCCAGACAGTTGTGGCTACTCTCAGTGAAGGTAGCCTCAGAAAACTCATCCAGGCATAAAGAGGATGACTAAGCCATGAGCAAAATTATCCTCTTTGAAGATATCTTTTCCAATAACCCACACCAGCAACCCTACTTTTTTGGTGCAGAAGGGCAGGACACACCACTCTGATGGGAAAAAAACAATTGGGGCATCCAGAGCACTGGCATATGGAATGCCGTTCTCTGGAACTTGCGAAGCATCTCCCATAGGCAAGGTGTCAACCAGTCACCACTGCACCAAATCATGTTGTCACCACCCAGTGTTGCATTTGTCATTAAAAAAAAGCCAGTGACAAATTCACTGCTGTTATTTACAGTTGAACTCTGTCAGTTTGGTATTGGAGGAATACAGTCAGCTAAATAAAAGACATAGGGCTTCCAAACCTTTACCCTGCTTTTGACTTTGGCTTTGCTTCAGGGATTTTGGCCTTTTTGGGTGTCCATTTTCCCACCTGTAAAATGGGAAAATTTTCCCACCTCTGCTGTGACTGAACTTTCCCCCTGTTTTAAGAGTTTTATCTATACAATACCCCTTTGCAGGGAGGGTACGGATGTTAAGATCAACAAATATGGGGAAAAATGGAGGTCTGTATAGGCTAATGTATTTGCCCAAAAGGGCAATGTCACATAGGATGGTCAGTGGAAGAGCAGGGACTTGAACCTGAGGTATCCCAGCTCAGAAACTAATGCCTCCTACCATTCTTTCTCCCTGGAGACTTTAGTGGTGTTGCACGGGAAGGGCAGAGTGGGCCCCGTTTCTTCTGTTGCTTTTTTTTATGAGTGCGATGACGTGGTCTAAATTAAAAGAAAAATACAAAAAGACTGCCATAAATTATCCACATACAAAGGAAAGGCCTTATTCACATTTATCCTATGGTTCCTTCAGATCTTGCTGGCAGGGTGCAAATGAAGATAACATCCCCTTTCACACACCCTCTGCCTCAGAGGAACACTAGGCAAATGAAAGTGCCCTGGTGACAGGACTTACGCAAATTCTGAGCCCAGAACAACTCTTTTCCCCAAAACACTGAAGCCTCCCCAAATGCCTTCCAGAATTCATCAGCCAGGAGCCTCACCATCCACAGGGTACCCCCTGAGGTACAATGAAAGCAGAGCCGGGCTGGATTTCTGGCTTCCCACCCAGCATTCCCACTGACATCAACAAGAATCCGTGGCTATTCCAGGGGATTTGTGGGCATTTGTTGCCTTAAAACAAGGCTGTAAAGGTAATCACCTACATTGTCCCCCACCTGGGCGAATGTGTGGGGCACTCACCCAGCACACACTTGGTGGAGTACCAGGAGGTAGTTGTTTTGGCATCTTGTACTTTAGCCCTTATTTACAAATGGAGTCAGAAATTAGGAAGAGCTGCCACACCGGGATTTACAAGCACTATGGAAGAAGGGAGCAGCAGGTCTTGGCTCCCATCACAGCCAGCCCCTAGAAGCTGAGAGTTTCTTTTCCTTTATCCCAGTGGGCTCAAGGAAAACGTTTTTCCTATTTGACTTTGTAATCTTCTCCATATCCATCAGCTCTCTCATCTGTGCCAGCAGTAGCAGCTGAGCTTAATGGCCTCCAGCATCTCGGACTAGGGGAAGTTCTGATGTGGGTCTATGCTAATGTGACCACGGACGAGCAAGGATAATTCTCCTGTCTCTGTTTATTTTGGGCTCTGTTAACTCTGCAAGGGGCTGATTTAGCATATCCTTGTGTGAAGGGAGAAGGGAAAAGTAGTCAAGTAAATGATGATTGGGACTGCCTGGAAGTGATAAAGGATTTGTTAGCTATTTCAAGACAGGACTGATTTGCCCCTTGTCTAAAAAATGGATGAATGTTGAATGATGTTGGCCACAGCAGTTGCACGATGATTTTTAAAGCCAGTTAAGGAATTTGGATTCCTGACAGCCTGGATGTATTTTACTGATGTCTCATAAGTGTGTATATTACATGGAGATGTGATGAATATAAAGCAACAATAACGGCTAAGCAGAATTAGTGAGGAAAATAATTCCCTGCTAAAAACCATCTCTGGTTTCACGATCAACTGTGTTGGACTACTATATTCTATGAACTTTTCCTTGCCCTTAGCTGCAGATTATAACACAGAAGATACTCTCGTACTGAAGCACTGTTATAGATTAAGAAGTCTTGACACTTTGGATTTTACTTAAGCAATTACAAGAGCCCTTTCTACAAAACGTATTGATTTTATTCCAGAAAAATAAATTCCCATGTACAATTGGGTTTTCATAACATGAAACAATTAGCCATTTTATTGCTAGTGCATATAGGGTAATGTCACATTTCATACAATTTCAGTACAAGTGAAAAAATATATGGCTGATTGAAATTGATAGCTACATTAACATTTATAGATCTATATAGATTTATTTTACAAGCTGTTAGTAGTTTAGAGGGATATCGGTGTTTTAAACTACCAACATTCATATGGCTCCAATTCAAATATATGAATTGTTTGATGCGCTATAAATATATTCCAAAGTACATTTCATTGAAGAAGTCAAAGCTGTGCACTAAAATATATCAAAAACATGCCTTGTGAAAATGCTACAGACAGAGCTCTGACTGTCTGTGGAGCATGAAAATGTCACTGGTGCTAGCATTACTAGTTGGAAAATTAAAATAATGCCATGATTACAGGATTAGGTGCTGGAGATATATACTTTCTGTCATCTTATTTCATAGAGCTGGGACCAAATTATCTTCTGTTACTCAATGTAAACCAGGATGAAATCCACCAAATGAGCAGAATTGCTTCTGGATTAGCATTAGGTAAACAAAACCCAGAATGTGGCTGGAGATCAGGCATGGGCTCACTGGTTTCAGTAGAGCTGGCCCCCGGATCTTCCTCAGTGGAAGTGAGAGCAGAACATGTTCCAGCTGAGTTGTTCCTCTAAGTCAGGCAGGCAGAATCTCAGCACATAATCACATTTGCCCAGCCTTACAAATTTCTTAAGTGCCTCCTAAGTTTCAGGTCTTATGAACAGCACCAAGGGGTTCACAGCAAACAGAAACTTAGGCAGGGGCTTGAGAATTTTCCAAAGTTGGAAAACAAAGTAGCCTAGGCCCCTAGGAAGGTCAGCATGGGCTCCATCCTGCTCCTAGGTTCAGTTCTGCCTAAACCCAAAGCCATCCTGGCAGCATTAACCTGGATTACCTCTGCAGAGAATTTGCCCAAAGGACAAGAGGACTGAGTGCTGGCAGCAAAGAAGGCACTGAGCATCAGATGAAATGGGAAGAGCTGTCAGGGCTGGAATCACAGTCAGTTTGTTAGTTGGCTTCTTTCCCTCCTCCTCCTCACTCTTGGCCCCAGTGCAGTCCCAAAAGGGCTACATGGAGGAATCTCTCTACCTCTGGTAGCATTTCTCCCCTTGCTTATTGTAAAAACACAGGGGAACAAAGACTTTTTTTTTCAACTCTACCCCTTGTTTGACAGACGCCTTTGCAAAGCAAACAGTGGAGGCCATTCGCTACCTGTGCTGCCTCACATCTGCCCTGGGGCCATACCCTTCCCCACATTTCTCCAAGAAAGCGTTGCCTTTGCAAATGACTGGATTCCAGCCCTGCCTTTACCCTACAGATGCAGGGTGGGGGCAAGGTTACAGCGCAGTTACTGAGGGGTGGGCATGTGGTGACAAGGGTGGGAGGGATACTGAGTGCACAGGTGGGCTTGCTGGCCAAAATACCGCTGCTGGATCAACCACAGCCCAGGGCCCTGGGCAAGCAAGGAAATGCTTTGTCCCATCTTCCATGCCAGGAAGGTTGGAACCCTCCCCTGCAACTCAGCACAGAAATGTTCTCTGTACTGCCCTTGCTCACTGCAAAATTGAACCGAGATAGGCTGGATCCACCTCAGGGTAGCCATGATCACCCGCTTTCAAGGGGAATAAAAATAGATTTTAAAAGACTGAATTTTCCAAATATGGTTGGTTTTCCCCTGGCCTTGTGGGAGAGCCTTATGCATGGAAAGGCGTCTCACCTTGGCTGATATTAATAGCACTCCACGCTGGCCAGCAGAGGAACAATTCTTAGCACCAAGACCCCCTAGGCCTCAGCTGCCTGTGCAAACAGACCCCACATGTGACATGGAGAAGGGGCTCCAAAGAAACTGGAACAATATAGACTTTGAAGTAATTGTAGTTTGGCTCGGGGAAGAGGGGGCATAAAGGAAGCATTTTCCTTGGGAGAACGGCTTTTTTAAAAAGAGGATGAATTGGGGACCCCAGAACAGATTCATTAGGATAGATTTTGCCTCAAACCCTGGCAAAACTCTCAGTTGAACATTTAGGATATACTAGAAGCTGTTATTTTAATACAGACTAGGTCAACTCCAAACCCATCTTCAAAACAATATCTGATTCCACAAGTACTTTGTCCACATGGTAAAAGCCAGCCCTTAATGTTCTACCCTTTAATAACTCAGGATGTTAGCTGTTAAGTCCATTTGTCTCTTGCCTTACTTGTTTAAAGCTTTCTCCAGATATTCCTGGATCCACTTTAACTTGGGATCGATGCACACTTGCTTGCTGTTGCTCTTGAGCCTTGCACTGCCAAAGAAGAAAAGTCAAAGTGAGTCTGCTGTGTGATGCTCCTCAGCCCACACCTCCCCAGATGCCTCATTTTGCACACAGATTTGCAACTCCATTAAGGACAGCAGGGCCATGTCAGACTTCATTGGGTGTCAGTGCTGCTCTCCGCCCATGAAAAGGATGGGTTATCCCTGCCATCCTCAAGGCAGATATTATAAATATCCCTGGGTTCAAAGTACTGCTACAATTCATCTCTTCTGGTGTTGATTCATGTGGTCTGTACTGGTACGCGTATGGGTGTGAGACAGATACAAAATTTAAATCTAAGTTTTCCAACTCATACCTAGGCTGTTATGAGTTCTGGCAACAGCTATATTTCATTTGGAAATAATGGTATAGTAAATATAGGTCATTTTTGCAAAGAATTAATGAAGAACAGCTTTCAGATTCAACCCAAAAATGAAGTTTCACATGTTTTGAGGATGGACACCAAACCATACCTCTTTGATGTTCTGAAAGGATCTGGTCACTCCTTAGCTTTTTGTTTTCTACAGGACTGAACAAACAGGTTGCAGGCAGGAAGACAAGTGGAAGCACCGTAGTGCCAGAGGCCACTTTTCCCTCATGTGTTCACTCAGCAATGGAAACAAAAGCAGAAGCCTCCTGAGGGGTTTCTCCTGGATGTACAAGTTGCACTTTCCAAACCAGACTGTTTAGCTAATTTGAACTCCCTGTGAATTTGGCATTTGGGCTACCTGCATCTTTCATACAGGAGAAGTACAAATAGCTTTTCACCCACATCAGCAGGTCTCACCCTCCAGGGATCCCAGGGCCTCCTGAGAGTGCTGTCATCTCCCACATTCCCCGAAGCACCCTGCCTCTGCCTCAGCTGCCCAGAAATTTCCTCTTAAACAGGCAGCCTGCCATGCAAAAGTGCCAAGAACAGCAATTTCATGGAAATGCCCATAGGAATAAGTTCAGTACTTGTTTAAGCATTTTGCTGGATGGAAGCCAAAATGTTCCCCACTTTATAAAATGAAATCTGCAGAATATAAAACTATGGTGTAAGAAGTTAACAGGTCAAAAAGGCTCCTTGATCTGAAGTTATGCAACAACACAGTTGTAACATAAACACATCGAAGATCCAGTCTTGCAAGCCCTGCACCAATAAAGAGATGAATGGGCCTAATTCATATTTCCCCTACAGCAGTGCCAAGCTGGAGTATTTCCAGTGAAGCTATACCAACAGAGAGTAAGAATGGATTTGCTGATGTTAGCAACGCCTGGGAACTCTTGAGCTGGTCTCGCAGAGTACAGAACCAGAAGCACACATAACCAGCCTCTAGCCACATGCAATGCAGTTCCTCTCACCTCATAGTAAGACGCTGATCTTTTTAGCCATTTATTTCTGAGCCTGTCAGCCCCTGCTCCTTGTACAGCCATGGCAGAGACTAGGCAATTGTATGGACTGTTAATCTGAACTGGTTTAGGTATCTACTTTAGGATACAATTGCATGCTAAAAATGCCTATTTCCCTGTACTGAAAAGCAGGGAATTTAGGATGGGCTTTGTAGAAGCAGATAGAGTAGATTTCTGGATTTGGGGAGATGACTTCCCATAGAACCAAAGACAAAAGCCTGCTCTTAGGCTTTTTGTTCAGCTGCAATTCCCTTCAACCATAAAGGGGAATGCACTTGTGCAAAAAAATACAGGATCTTTCCTTGAAACTGTATGATTTCACTGAGATTCTCTATTCCTGAAAACAGTAGCTTTTAAGTTACTCACACCTTCACTGCATAATGCATATCCACTAAATTCAGAGTGTGGTTAAAACCACGAAGATGAGAAATCTGTGTTAGTTTTGATTCCATGTCAGCTTCTGTTTCAAAAAAGACCTAGTTCGAACTCATGATGTTTCATGGGCATTTGGAGGCAAGTTTTTAAGTACCTTACTTTTTAGAGTAACAAAAAGATGGTGAGCTACAGGTTCATGTGTTCTGTGTGCCACTAAATCACATTGCAAGCACACACATTTGAGTCAGAAATGGACAAGAACATGAGTTGTTTGTGCTTCTGCATTTCATGCTCTTACCTACCTCTAATGACTATGATCCCATGTTAATTAAGAGATAAACGTATACTCTAGCCTGTCTTAAACGCCTGTCATTTTCTTGAAACCACTCCAGAAAATTCCAAATCCTCTACAAAGCCTTAGCACTGGGACCCTTTTGACATCCACTGACAGTCCCAGAGCACAAACCCGTACACTATTGCATTTTGGATGCTTGCCTCCAGAATTTTTTTATAGGTAGAGATCAGAGTTAGTCACAGCTGGTTTTGCCATTTTTGCAAAAGGAAATTATTTCTCAGCTGAGGCTTACATTTTTCTCACTGTCCACCACCAAATCCTAAGGCAGAAGCACACATGAGAAAATGCGTATGAACTACCCAGAGTGGTTTAAAAAAGAAAAAAATCATGTGAATAAAAACTGGTTCATGAATTGATACATGCTCTTCAATGTATCTGTACATTCCTAAGAAATCTCATGAAACCACATCAGTTTTCTGAGTGCAGAAATGTTTTGGATGACAAAGAATGGACTCCTACAGAATTTAAGTTGCAAGTGGAAGAGCTCAACATGGATGAAGATAGAACTAGTGATGGCACCACTGCACAGAAAACTTGTCTAGTCACTGAGACCCTCTTAGAGAGATCAACAGAAGTTGATGGTAATAGGGCTCCCTTGCAATGAAAAGATGAAGGCTAATTTTTTTCTTCCGAAGATTTTGAATTTTGGGAGAGGAGTAATTGAGTCACGCCTGAACAAATGAACCAAAAAAGACTTTCCTAAAAACACACACACAAAGCTACAACCCCATTTTTCCTGAAAATTAGTGTTTCTTTTTCAGCAAAAATGAAGAGGCTATTTCCCACTGGAACCCACCATCTCTGTTCTGCTGTGATCTGTGATTCACCTGAGCCAGTCACTGCCTGGCAAGCGTGTCCCTAGATCAGGCCAGCACGTGTTTAGGGCCTGTACCTCCTGTGGAGGCTACACAAAATCCAGGAATTACTTCTGCTTGTTTAGCTCCTCTCTGTGGAGAAGTGGAGCATTAGAAGACTCAGACCATGGTAAAGTCACTTTTCTCAAGGTATGATGCTCCACACACAAGGCAACGGGCCTGATGCTCCGGCTCGCATACCCGTGGGGGAACAGGACATGGGATCACATAGTCACAGGGAGATCACAGAGGTAGAACACAGCTGGGAAACATTTAGCTGGGCTCCTTTGTGTGGGGTAGAGCAGGGTCTATCCAGCTGTATCTGACACATGGGGTGAAGACATGAATTGGAAATCATGGCATGAGACACAGACCAAATTGCAGCCACCAAAGCAGGAACAAGCTGTGTGACTCTTCCTTTTGACACCCGAGATTTGCACCCAGCTGAAAAGAGTAAGAGACTTACACAATCTGAAGCGAGCAGTTGGGTGTGGAGAGGATTTTGAGGTGCTTAATGTTGGCTCTTGCCACGTTGCTCTCGTAGAATCGACAGGGGCATCGGTAAGTCAGGCTGACGGGTTTCTCTGCGGGACACAGGGAGAGAAAGGACACGTTACTCCCTCTTGCTCCCGGTCAGCAGCACAGATAGACAGACCAGGGCTGACAGAAACTCCCTCCAAATATGCGGGGGACGGGGGGAGCGATAGAAAAGCTGTAGCTCTGGGAGAGCATTTGCCCGCAGCTCACAGCACAATCCTTTTACCCCAGCACCCAGCCTTTCAATCCTGGTGCGTGGGATTTTGGAAGACAAAAGAGGGAGAGAACATTGAGATAAGTAAAGAAGAAGAGATTAGAATAAGGAGCCGCTCCATTGTGCAGGGATGCTCCTGGTAATTAGACAAGATAAAGGCCAAAAGAGGGGGCACTTGTCCTCAGTGTTGTTCTTGCCAAATGATTTTGACCCGAGGCCAAATTAGAAGGTAGCCAGAAGAAAGCGATGAATTCCAAAGAGTTGAGATCAAAACGGCTCGGCTCAGGTGCAGGCTTTTCACGGGGGACTCACTGGCTGCAGAAAAGCCCCGAGTCTTGCAAGCTTTCCCAGGGCCCAGCGGCTGACCGTCCCCCACCGCGGCCAGCCCCTCGTCCCAGCCGGGACCCCCGCACCGGGGTGCGACTCCGGGGTGCCGGATCACAGAGAGGTTTCGCAGGAGAGACCGGCAGTCTTTTTGAACTCCCAGCCTGTGGCAAAGCAACGGCCATCAAGCAGTGGGCTATCCACAACTGTGGAGATTATTACCACCACAACTAGCGGTGGTCCCACTAATCAGGGACCACCAGACCGGATGAGCGTCTTGTCACTGGCATCACTAGGGACTCAGTTAAATTTAGCCCCCTCCAGGCTAAAAATCAGCAGTGAATACGCATGCAGAACTGAGAAAAGCAGCCTGGCTCTCACCACAACCTCTGATGCAGTCCTTCTGCTACCTGATTTCTCCATGGAAAAACTTAATTACTGGCAACCAAGTGCACATAAATAAGGTCCTCACTCTGTGCGTGAGCTTCAAAGCCCCATGCACACTAAAACACAAACACAGAAGCCTTGCCTGGAAGTCTAGAAGGAGCTGCCTAAGATCTTAAACAATTTCCCAGTGGAGCAGTTTTCGGTCTCTGGGAGGAATTAAATTCATACACCTAACCCATAAGGTCTGCCTCATGCTGTAGATGGTCAGATCTATATCTGACAGGGCTTTAGATCCCCATGGCAATCTGCCGCCCTGTTTATTTAGCCACACAGGAGCACTGGCAGCATCCAAACCCAGCTCCCTTAAAGGCAGATGGAGAGCTAAAGAGCAGTGAAAGGCTTGGAATCCCTGAGCTGCCGTCTAGGAAGGTGGGAAAAGAGACAGCTTTTCAAAGTGCAGCTAATCTGCATATATTGCACATTTACCAATGCCTGTCTCTAGCACATAAAACCACTGACAACACGGTGAAATTAGCCTGTCCTCAGGAGGGAAAATGATTTTTCCCGAGCGCCTCTTAACAAGAGATGAGCCACAGTCTGATCCCACAGGCAGATGGGCAAACAGAGGGGAATTCATTAGTGAGAGCAGAGTTCCCCCAGATTCACACCAGGATCTGGACTAGAAGTTAACAAAATTGGAGGAGTTTTTCCATCAGTTTTATGGCAATCAGTCAGTCTGAATAGTGGTATCATCTATGAGTTAGTAAGTGGGAGGAGAAGCTCCTGCCTGCAGGAGCAGGAGGGCTGCAGGGCGAGCCTCGGGAACATGCAACAGACGGACTAGTGCTAAAGTGGAAGGGAGGGAGAAAGGCGCTAGGATTTCCCATCTGATAGCGACGCATCAGTGAGTTTGTATTGGAAAGGGAGGCTGAAACTGAATGCAGTCACATAACAACGCTCAGCACAGCTGCAGTGGAAGTGTCTCTGCAAGCTTGTACCAACGAAGTTTAAGCAATCTTTACCCCAAACAACAGGCAAGAGCTGAACTGTTCAGACCTATCATTTGAGAATGCAATCCTGTCCTCTCTGAGACTGGGAGAGGGACTGTCAATCCCACCCCATTTGAAAACAGAGGCAGAGAAGTTTAACCATGAGTAACATGTCCATGTGTCCCAAAGTTGTTTCTTGCCCAAGAAAGGGCATCCAGCACAGCAAGGAAGAAGGGAAGCCCCAGCATTCGGTGTTCTGTCACCCCAATGCAAGGTGGAATGACAACTCCCCTCCCAGCACAAGAATCCCTTTGGCGTTTCTGTGCCCCTTGCTTGGTGACCAGAAACAGGCACGGAGTGCCAGGGAGCGGCAGCACAGGCACCAGTCAGCTCTCAGCATCACTAACGGGAACCACGACCTCCTGCCACTGCCTCTCCAGCGCGCCGGCCCCAAGAGCTTGGCTGTAGCTCACTCCTCTCCCAGCAAAGCTGGAAACCAGGGAAAACTAGTGCATGTGGCATTTCCCAGCACATGAACACCTATCATCCTAAAGTAGGAGGTGGAAGGGGCCGTTTGGGGACCATCATCTGGGAAGGCGACATTTCTGGTCTTAGCCCCGAGGCTGACAAATACCTTCCTTATCTCATTGCAAAATTTGAAACAAATTGTTCCATGCACAGTAAAGCTGATTAAGCCAATTATTCTACATGTTTGTACCGCAGCAGTTAACGCTCTGCGGGTTCTCTGACGTCTAATAAACAGCGAGCACAAGCTGAAGCCATTCTCTCAGTAGGAAAAATTAGTACAGTTTGTTAATTGTACTGTTACCTGAAAACACTATTTTTCATGAAACTGATGGTACATAAAGCTTTTGAGACCTTTATCTGTTTGGCACATTTGGTTAAAATGAGTGAATATAGTCACAAGTTACAGAACAGCCAGACACTATTCAGACATCTCAGTGTCATTCCTTCAGCCTTACTTCCTTAGACAAAAAGAAAAACAGAACATCTCTTTTGGTCTCGACTAGAAGAGTTCTTGGGTTTGGGGAGTGTTTGGGTTTTTTTAAATAAATAGTTCTACTGTTTTCTAACTCAAAACTGAGTTTTGCTGTCTCTGAACACCCCATTCTGCTGTCAAATTCTCTCTAGAGACAAAGCGCTCACAAAAAGCTCCCTCACCAGTGGCCACTTACAGGACAGTACCTGTTTCACCCCGTAGGGATCTGCCCTGCCTCACCCACACTGGGACTGGACACTAACGGAACAAGTGAGTTGCCAGTTCTGGTGCGAAGTGACGACCAGTAACCTGCTCTGCGGGCTGGGAAGCCCTGGGCACTTGAATGGAGAGGGAAGCTGTATCCAGGCAAGCAGGGTGGACATGAACAGACAAAACATTTGATGGAAGCATGATTTTACTGCTGTTCATCCAAAGGTGCATTTGCCAATATCAGGAGGGAGCCGGCAACTTTTCTAAGACAGCTCCATTTCCCGGAGGAATGAGGCTGTGATGGCCAGATACAGCTTCACCAGCGTGGCTAGGAAGAATTCAGAGCTCACCTGCCCTCCAGGACAAAGTAGCCCTGCAAGCCCCCATCTGGATCAGGGTTGTGAGCACGACATGACATGCAAAGCAGGCAAAAAACTTCGGTCTCATCACTGCAAGCCGATGAGATCTCTCTCCTTACACTGGT